CACAGATGTGCACTGCTTTACCGACTTCTTGTATGTATCGGCTCCTTGTCCGGCTACCTGCAAGGTGACCGTGGCTTAGTGGGCAAGGCGCAAGCCCCGCAGTCGGGCGGCACCAGGCTCGAACCCACCAAGTGACGGAGCAATTGAAATTTATTTTTCTTTTATTTGGGATGAAATTATTCTCAAACTCAATTTGACCTTGAATTTGATTTAAATCTTCACAAAATCTTCACAAAATCTTCACTTGTTTTGTCTTTTCGAATCACTTGTTATCACGTTAGTCAAAACTAACGGAGGTGGGATTCACAAGAGTAACAGTTCTTGCCACTGAGGTGGACTTGTCCATAGACTCTTCACAGTGAAATTCGCAGCGATGCAAAAACGCGTCTGCACTCCACGAAAGCATGATCGAGACTGACACAAATTACCGGGGAAATAAAATTATTGATTGTGAATGGCCCGTCATAACTTGGGGCCAATTTTGCCGCGATGCCTTCCACCGCTTTGGACAGGTGGTGCTCCTTGGGCCAGACCTTATCACCAATCCTTGGCGTCCATGGTCTCCTCCGCAGGTTGTAATGCCTTGCCTGATCCTGCGCTGCCTTCTCCATATTACGTCTGACGAGTTCGAAAATTTCCGACAGTTTTTGTGCATTTTCCTTCGGTGTTTGTGTCGCCTTTCCGGTCCCGATTGTGTGCTCGTCGAAAAGAGCTTTTGGCAGCCTAGGTTCTCGACCCTGGGTGACGAACGCTGGCGAGTACCCGGTGGACTCCGCCACACTGGTATTTACTGCCAGCTGTAGTTCTGGCCATTTGTCGTCCCAGGTCCTCTGGTCGGCCCCCACGAACTGGGCGATCATCGTCTTAACTGTCCTGTTTGCTCTTTCTGTCGGGTTTTCCTGAGGCGTGTATGGTGCAGTGAACTGGTGTCGCACCCCCAATTCTTCCAGAAATCTTTTAAACGCCCTGCTTGTAAATTGTACCCCGTTGTCCGTGATTAAAACTTTAGGGACGCCGTACCGCGAGACGATTCTCTCCCTTATCGCCTTCTGTAGAGATTCCGTGGTCGCCTTCCGCATCGGCACCAACTCGGTCCACTTCGAGAATTGGTCCACCAGCACGAGCAGCATAGCATTGCCGTGTTTTGACCGCGGCAGTGGCCCGACGAAATCGGCACACACTGTCGCCCACGGCTCCTCGGGAATCTGCGTCAACATCTTGCCTGCAGCCTGCAGCTGATTCGGCTTGTACTTCATGCAGCTCTCACAGCTACGTACGTAGGCTCTGATGTCCCTGTGCATGCCCGGCCAGTGGTACCTCGTAGCCACTCTTGCGATCGTTTTCCTGCTGCCCAAGTGACCGGCTGTTGGTGCGTCGTGATTTTCTGCTATCACCCTCTGCCTTGATCCTCTGGGTATGCATAGCTTCCACGCAGCCACGTCCTCGTTCCCCGCCCTGTGGGGTATGTGGCGATACATCTGGTCGCCTTCCAGAATGTAATCCGGGTATTTCTGCGGGTTTTGCTCCACCTTGTTCCTCATCTCTGCTATCCAATCGCGTCCCTGTTCCGCTGTCTTCGGGTCTGCCTTCTTTGTCTTCATGCGGCGGCATCCCGCTGGCAATGGCTGTCTTAACAGGGCGTCCGCCACGAAATTAAGTTGACCTTTTCGGTAGGATATCTCAAAGTCATACTGCTGGAGTTCCAGCGCCCATCTCGCAATCCTTCCTGACGGGCTCTCGATACTGTTGAGCCATTTTAGTGCCATGTTTGAAATGGTATCCCTCTAGGTACGGTCGCAACTTCCTTATGGCCCATACTATCGTCAAGCATTCTTTTTCAGTTTCGGAGTAATTTCTTTCCGCTCCATTTAGGGAGCGACTTGAATATGAAATTACTCTCTCGCCTTGATCTGAATGCTGAGTGAGTATGGCGCCAAGCCCGTAGTCGCTGGCGTCTGTCTGCAGGATGAATGTCTTTGTGAAGTCTGGGCATGCCAGTATTGGATCTGCGACCAGCCTGGCCTTGACTGCCTCGAATGCCTTCTGGTGGTCGTCGGTCCACTCCCATTTCACCTTCTTCCGGAGTAGGGCATTTAGTGGCTGGACTAGTGTGGCGAAGTCGGGTACAAAGCGTCGGTACCACGATGCCACTCCCAAGTATTGCCTCAGTTCCTTAACGTTGGCTGGGGGCTTCAGCAACGCTATTGCCGCTACCTTCTCTGGATCAGTTCCAATTCCTTGGTCCGTGATGCGATGTCCAAAGTACTGCAGCTCCCTTTTGAAGAATTTGCATTTTTCCGCATTCACCTTCAGGTTTGCTGCCCACAGTCTTCGGAACACTTCCCTCAGGTTTCTTTTATGCTCCTCCAGCGTCCGTCCGATGATTATAATATCGTCCTGGTACGCAAAGGCATGCGGCATCATCTCAGGCCCTATGACCTGATCGAGCGCCCTTTGGAACGTCGCCGACGCTGAGTGCAGTCCGAATGGCATCACTTTCCATTGGAACAATCCCTTTCCTGGAACGGTGAAAGCGGTATACTGCCTGCTATTTTCTTCTAGTGGTATTTGCCAGTATCCATCCTTTAGGTCCAGGCTGCTGATGTATCGTGCCTCCCTTAATTGGTCCAGGATGTAATTGATCATAGGCATTGGGTACGCATCCTTTACCGACTTTGCGTTTATTTGTCGGAAATCTACGCACAGCCTCCATTTTCCCGTCTTATTCTTTACCATGACTATTGGAGAGCTGTACGGGCTTCTTGACGGCTCGGTGCATCCTTTTCCCAGCAGCTCGTCTACCTTTTCGTTTATTTCCCCCTGCATTTTGGGGTTTTTTCGGTAGTACCGCTGCTTCACTGGCTGGTCATCCTTCATCGTGATCTTGTGGACGGCTATGGTTGATGCTCCGCTTGACTCTTCTAGAGCTTTCAGCTCCTCCTTCAGGAATTTGGCGATGTCCTCTTCCGAAAACGATTCCGGTGTTTCTACAACTGCCACCGACAGTTTTTCTTCCAGCATTCCTAGTCTGCGCTTTCTTGCTGGTATCGCCACCTCGAGTCCTGCGCATTTTTGAGAGGAAATCCCAGCCCAACACTAGGGCGTCTATCACTCTTGGGAGGATTAATAACTGCATCAACACCTTTCTCGTCCCGAGACCAACCACTATCTCCAGCTGTGATTGGATGCTCCCGCATCTTCCGTCTGCCATGCGCACCTGCCTTCTCGTTGGTACGACCTTACCGGCGGCCTGCAGCCTGTCCGCCAACTCTTCGCTTATAAAGCTTGCCGTGGCGCCAGTGTCCACCGTGGCCTTCACTTTTCGTTGGTTAATGAGCACTGTGGCGGACAGCTGCATCTCTTCCGCCTTCAGATCGCCCATTAGTTTCGAGAGGCAGCTCCTTGCGATCCCTGGCCGCCCTTCGGTGGCTGAGGTCGCTTGGCGTTTCCCGCTCGTGCGCAGCATTCGCCGTTCGTGACGCCTATTCTTCCGCATCTCCAACAGAATGCGATTCTTCTATTGCGGCATTCTTTGGCCCAGTGGTCTTGGCTTCCGCATCTCCGGCATGCCTGGGATGGATTACTTATGTATCCCGGCCGTGCGTTACGCTCGTCTGGCTCCTCTTGACAGCGCCTGCACGTTGCTGCTGGTTCCCTCCTCATGGCCGGCGCATGGTATCGGGCTTTTGGGATGTTTTCTTGCTCGAACCGCTCCCTCTGTTGGTCGAGCTCCTCAAATTCGTCCGCTAATGCCATCAGGGTATCCAGGTTCTGGCACCTGTAGGGGCGGATAAACAGCCGTAATGCTGGGGTGCTGTTTTCTTTAATCCGCTCCAAGATCTCGTCCTTGTTCAAACCCAGGGGTCGCATCAATGTCTGCATGTCTACCATGTAGTCCTTGAACTTTCACCGTAGTTTTGCTTCCTCTGCCTGACTTAATCTGCGAGTTTGTTCATGAATCCCCTGGGCAAGAAGAACTCCTGGAAGCTCTGGCTAAATCCGCCCCAGGTCTCCCAGAACCTGTTGTTAGCGATGAACCATTTGAGCGCTCTACCCTGAAGGAGCTCCGGCATCGCCCTCGGAATTTGGTTTATGTCTAGCCCGTATGTCATCGCCGACCACTCCACTTGTTCGAGGAACTCCAGGGGCTTCTCATTCCCGTCGTAACGGGACTCCACTCCCTGACTTGTTTTGCGATCTTGGCATAATCCTGACCGGGTCTGCCATTCTCCGCACGTTATTCGCGGTTGTCGCTCTTCCTCTCTCTGCTGTTTTCCCGTCGGTCGCGGCTGTTACTCCTGCTGGCGTTCTGCATGCTGCTCACGTCCAGGCTGCGCACCAGGCCCTCGGCTCCGGTGACTTTCAGGCCGACCGACGGGTACTTGGCGTAGTCCCTTTCCAGGGCCGCCAGAATTGCTAGCGCATCAGGATCATGCCCGGAATGGTCGATGAATTCGGCCAGTGTCCGCCTCATGTCCTCTACAAGGCCCTCTAGCTCGATGCCTAGGGCGCTTGCGATCGCCGGGAAATCGTCCTTTTTAAGGTTGTATTACCAGGACTTCCCCATTCTCAATCTATTTCTGGTTTCTTTTGGTACGAGTATCACGCTTGGGCGCCAGATGTAACAAACTGCTTTTTTACTTTCTGCTCGCTGCGTAAAACGCGCGGCTAGCTCAGCTGAGTTTGTGTGTTCGTCCCACCAAATTTATTGTAGCGTGACCCCGAAACCAAAGAAGAACGCAGAAGTATGTTAGACTTTAGAATACGTGTTGGGTTTATTGCATGTAGATTTATAATTGGTTGTTCGATTTCTGGTTCGGCTCGCTGATGAAGATGATGCCCTCGGTGACGCCGATAGTGGCTCCCACGTCGACTCTACGGCGGCACGCCTGTCGTGCGTCCTCTGCCTTGCCGAGTCTTTTGGGCACCGGTCGCGTACTAGGCTCGCTACGAGTCTCTCACAACTTTGGAGGATGTTAAGCAGAACCTCCCTAGCGGGGCTAAGCAGTGATGCCATCATTACTGGGCAGGGGATATGCGTCCTTCACGGTCAAAGCATTGAGCTTCCTGGCATCCAGACAAAATCGATCCTTTCCTGGCTTCGAAACTACCGTCGTGCGATTACTCCAGGGGCTCTTACTCTCCTCGATGACTCCCAGCTCGAGCATCTTGTCGATCTCGTCCTCGACCACTTTCTGCTTCGCTGGAGACATGGGATAGGGCCGGTCCTTGAACACTCGGGCTCCTTCAACCAATTCGATGGAGTGTCGCTCCAGGCTGGTAGTGCCAAGACCGTCTCGCTCGAAGTTAAGAAACTCCCCTTTGACTTTCTCTAAAGCCTCCTTCTCCTCCACAGAAAGGCTCCATGACTCGGGATCCTCCTTCGTCTCGTCCTCGTCTTCCTGTTCGGCGTAGTGCTCCATCTGCCTGGCATGGATTTCCTCCGCTTTCTTTCCACCGCTGGGTACGGCCACTCCTACGACTGCTGGAGCAAGACCAAACGTTCGCCAAAAATCGACTCCAAAGTACGCTTCCTGTTCTAGGTATGGGCAGAGATAAAATGTTATCACCTTGCTCATCCTCTTGTACTCCACAGGCAGCTCAACTCGTCCGATAATCGACCGATCTTCTCCAGCAGCCGTCGTCACCTTCGACAAATAGGGCTGGACAGCCACGCCCAACGCCTCTACACGACCTCTGCAACCTTTGCCTAGCAAGTTGACACTGGCACCCGTGTCCAGCAAGCCGGTGATTGGCTGGCCAAAAACCTTGAGGTTCGCGAAAGGTCGAGGATCACGTGAGTCAACGCGTTTTACTGCCGCCACCACTTCTCATCGTCGGGTTTTCCGGATCTTAAATCGTTCCCTTGCCTTCTGGACCCTGCGAGAAAACATTCGCATGCCGCTAAGCTGGTGCTCTGCGAAAATTCGGTTTCGAGCTTCCAGATGGCGACGCATCCTCTCCTCAGCTGGTAAGTATCTTAAGTCGATCTTAAAGCTACTAGGTGGGCTAACTAATTTGTTCTCCTTAGGCACTACTTCGCAGGATTCCTCTCTGGACGATTCCCTCCTGCCTTCGGATCGCCCAGTCTGCCGTTTTCCGGTCGGGACACTTTGGTAAGACAGTGTCTGGTCGGCCACATCTGTAGCAAAACAGCTTGCGATCCACGGTCTCGCAATCACGGAATCCGGGATCAGCGGCACCGCAGTTCCAGCAATCCGTCCGGAATGGATTTCGGGGTCGTCCACGCAATTCATCCACGTCGAAGGAATCTTCCTGAGGCTCCGGTACGCACGCTTCGGCCACTCGGGGTCTATCCCCTGCCGGATGACGCAATGGTGGCTGGTACGAGGTGCGTCTTCGGCGACCGAAACTGCGTTCCACCTCTATGCACTCCTGCCGCAATTCGTCCACGGTAAATATTTCCATCGCGAAGACAAAGCGCGCAACGCCATCCCTTAAGCCTTTTTTAACCACCTTCACCAACTGCCGCTCCGGCATTGGTTTTTTTAGGCGTGAGGCGAGCTGCTGCATACAGTGGATGAAGTCCTCCACCGTCTCGCCCGGCTGCTGTTCCCGCTGCAGGAGCTCGTGCATCCGGTCATGCTCGGTCTGGTGCCCTCTAAATCGGTCTATAAGGGCTCGGCGCAGCTGCAGCCAACTGTCGACTCTGGACTGTCGCACGTGGATCCAGTACCACACCTTGGCACGACCGATGAGAAATACGTGGAAGTGCCTCAAAACCTCATGCCATGGACACTGATGCTGCCGCTGCAGGAACTCTATCCGAAAGACGAAGTCCTCCACGGAAATCCGCTCGTCATCCCTGCCGAACGACACGTTCCAGCGGTCCACTTTTTGATACCGACTGCTGCACCCAATGCCCACGTTGGCATACGTCCTGCCGTCTGTGCTGCTCGGCCTCCAGAGGAAGACCTGGACTGCTGCTGGCCCAATCCGACGATGTGTAGGTCCTTCGCTGCGGCTTCGGTGGGACCAATGGAGGTGGCCGACATGGTCTGTATCCTTTCGGGATGGCACCCTGCTTCTGCTGCGCTGGTTGTTGCTGCCGATCCCCTTGCTGCTGTGTCGCCGGAAGAGGCAGAGGATTTTCTGGCCTGATCACATCGTTGAGGAGCTTCATCATCTCGAGGAAACCGCTCCGGATTTCCTCTCTCAACGACTGGCTGACTCCGGCCTCCTGCGCCTTCCGATAGGTCTCTGCCGCCTGTGCTACCGCCAAGTTCGTCGCGGACTTCTCCTCCAAACCGAGCCGTGCTTTGGCCGAGTTCTCGTCGCCCAGCTCGAGGAGTTGCTCTGCGACCAGACCCACGTCGGCAAAATTCAAGTGTTTCCGGGAATCCTTCTGTTTGGCGGGATCAACATCCCGGATCCGTTCCCGAAATCGCTCCACTGGCGTCCTCAACAACCCTCCAGCCATCGATACGCGCTCTCCCCCTGCAGCACCCTCTACATCCGTAGACCAAAGCGCGTCTTCCTCGATTCCGGGAGGACCCATCGACCTTAATTGGTGGTCGTGCCTATCCCCAGTATTTGTTTCTCTTGGCATGTTTATAAATTTTATATATACATTTTTTAAAACCTAATACCACAACAACACAATAAATTTACTAATAAATAATTGCAATAAATAAATAGATAAATTTGCACGAAATAAATATACACTTAATAAATAAGTAAGTAAATAAATATCAAAATAAATAATGAACCAATGGCAAAATAAATAATGAAATAAATAACAGCACAATCAATAACAGAATAAATAAATAAATTATGAAACGACCAAAAACATAACTTCTGTAATAAATAATAATACCCAACAAATACCACTAACTTCTAAACTCTTCGAGCAACCAGATCACTAATCTCCTTTTTAAACTGTTTTATTTAGGTCACCCTAGGGTCAAAATTAGAAAATGAAATTTAAGTACCTTCCTGTTGCCAGATTGATCTGAAATTTGGTACACACCTTCAGTTCCGATGACAATACAATATAGTAATGTCAATAACATTGTAAATCCAAGATGGCGGCCGCAAAATGGCGGATAACGTAGGTTCTATCAATCCCATCAATATGGGTATCAAATGAAAGGTCTCAACAAGTATAATACAATGTACTATATAAAATTAAAATTCAATATGGCGGCCTCTGCAAAATGGCGGATAACTTAGGTTTTATCAATCCCATCAACATGGGTATCATTGTCACTGTCAAACACATCAGATTAATTCAGATCAATCTGACAACAAACGGGGTAAGCTAAATCTTATATATATAAATGAATCGCGAAATGTGTTGGTAAGCGCATAACTCAACAACGCCTGGACCGATTTTGATGAAATTTTTTGTGTGTATTCCAGGGGGTTTGAGGATGGTTTAGATTCACAATATGTTAAAATAATATTTATTATTTTATAAAGCAAAACGGCTAAAGAAAGTGAAGTTGATAGAAACAAAACTGGAGGTTTACCAGCAGAACTGGAAATATTTGTGGGGGCAAAAGTCATGCTACGGTCCAATTTTGACGTTTCGGAGGGATTAGTAAATGGCGCTATAGGCTACATCAACGAAATCGTTTGGCCTCAATTTCGTCGAACTCAGATGTATGCAACAGATGTACCTTCCGTCCGAATTGATTTCGAAAAAGACGGAGTACATCTTATACACCCGAAAGCCATACAGTTTCCAGCTAAGTACAATTACGGGACGGCTGAGAGAAGAATGTTGCCTTTAATACTATCATGGGCTTCTACAATACATAAAATGCAGGGCAGCACTGTGGATCACGCAGTCGTATACTTAGGTGCGAAACTGTTTGAAGAAGGTCAAGCTTACGTGGCTCTTAGTAGAGTAAGATCTTTGCAGGGACTACGTATAGCGAAGTTGGACTGCAACAAACTAACGGGCAAGAAACCATGCAATAATGAAGCACTAAATGAATTAAACAGAATGCGAATTAAAAACTAATAAAAACTTAATCAAATTTGTTAAAAAAAACTTTTTAATTTTTAATTTTTTTTATGTTAACCCTACATTGCAATGTTTAAGATAAATGTACTTATTATTGGACCTCTGGGGGCGTCGACCGTTTAAATGACTATTACTCGTAGGAACAAAATGGTAAAAAAAAATATAAATAAAAATGCGAAATAAAAACTAAAAGCTAGAAAATAAAAAAAGGTAAAAAAAAATTTTAAGTTAAACCGTTTTATGTAAATCATGTACTAAATGTACTAAAAGCCTAAAAATAATATAAAATAGATACAGACGTGGGAATTATAAACATATGCTTAGACTAGACTAAAATAAAACCGTGGGGCAAGTCAATTGTGTACAATCGTTGATTAAAATGTTTGTTTGCCCCACGGTTTTATTTTAGTCTAGTCTAAGCATATGTTTATAATTCCCACGTCTGTATCTATTTTATATTATTTTTAGGCTTTTAGTACATTTAGTACATGTTTTACATAAAACGGTTTAACTTAAAATTTTTTTTACCTTTTTTTATTCCTATTTATCTTTCAGTTCCACCGTGGGGAGATGGAATTAATTGTCGTCGGTGGACTTCCGACCCGTGTACTACGCATCGCCAAAAATCATCCCAATTTCCGCCCCTATACAGCCGCTCGTCAACTGGTCTATTGGGTTGGCAAGAAAGTCATGTCGTTTTTTTTAGTAATCTAATTTATTGGGTTGGCAAGAAAGTAATGTCGATTTTTTCAATATTTTCAAAGATGATTTATTTATATCAGGACTTATAATTAATCAATTATGTATTGGCCGTTTTGTTCGACCACTAATGATCATCTTTCGGGCAGCTGCATAATTCCGCGCTCAAAGAACTTTTGGTCTTTTCCAGCAAAGAATCGAGATAAGTGGTTTTCGACAGCCTCATCTGAATCAAAGTTTTTACCATTCAAAGAGTTTTGAAGAGAGCGAAACAATTGGTAATTTGAAGGTGCTAAGTCCGGACTATAAGGTGGATATGGTAGCACTTCCCAATTCAGCTCCTTTAATTTTTGCCGAGTGACCAAAGATGTGTGGGGCCTAGCGTTGTCATGGTGAAAGACTATACCCTTGCGATTAGCTAGTGCCGGCTCCTTTTCTTTCATTTTTTCCGCCAAATTGGATAGCTGGCGACAGTACACATCTGAATTGATGGTTTCATTCCGTCCCAGCAGCTCAAAGTGCACTACACCCTTCCAATTCCACCAAACAGACAGCATAACTTTCCTCTGATGGATATCGGCCTTTGATGTGGCTTGGGCTGGCTCATCTTTCTTGCTCCATGATCTTTTTCGTTGGACATTATTGTAAACAACCCGCTTTTCGTCGCCAGTAATGATCCGTTTCAAAAAAGGATCGTTTTTAATCCGTTGCAGCAGAGAATAGCAGATGTTTATACGCTTAGTTAGGTGAATTTCCTTTAAGTTATGCGGAACCCAAACATCGAGCTTGCTTACGTAGCCAAGTTTCTTCAAATGGGTTTCAACCGTTGTATGCGACACACTGAGCTTCTCTGACATCTCCCGCGTTGAATAACGCCGGTTTTCATCCAGCAAAGCCTGAATTTGTTCGTCAAAAACGGCCGATGGTCGATCAGAACGTGGGGCGTCTTTAACTCCAAAATCTCCAAGCCTGAATTTGGCAAACCAGCGCTGACATTGGCGATCACTCATGGCATCTTTACCATACACTTTGCACAATTTTTCGCGAGCTTCGACCGATTTTTTTCCTTTTTGGTCTGTCATCGTGGCGTCATCTCCGACGCTACGGTGTCACCACAACTTCTAGTGGGATCATATAAATTAAAAACAAAAAAAAAATTTTTGTTAAGGGGGGGGGTAAGGTTTTAAAGGCCAAAAAGGGCCATGTTTGATTTTTTTTTTGCATCGAAATGAGTAAGTTTATTTTATTGAGCTTAATTACATGTTATTGTTTAACTTTTGAAGAGTATTAGAAAAAAAAATTATTACAAAATATTAAGAAATACGCCTGTGGCGGTTAATCTTCCGAAGCGCCCAAAGAAAAAGTTGTTTTGCGGTGAACATCATAGGGCGTTAACGGATCATCTTAAAAAATAAAATATGATATGCGTTGTAAAGATAATGAATTTCCCGAGGTAATCCGGAAGAGTTTTTTTTAAATTTATTTTTTGTCTATTTTTGGGAGCAATTGAAAGTGAAAAGTGCGATTTTAGCTTAAAAAATCGCTGTTAATTTATTTTTTAAAAATAAAAAAAAAAATTAAAAATTAAAAAAAATCTTCCTGATTACCTGCGTATTTTTGTTGAGAATTTGTGTTAAAAATTTGAAAAGGATCGGTTGAGTAGATTTTGAGTTCTGATGTTCACCGACTTTCAAAATAACGTCTTCGGCAAAATCGATTCAAAGTATTTTTATACGTGAAAATACGTCCAAATACGGTTGTTTAAAACGCTGTAACTCTGTTAGTTTGACTTTAATTGACTCAAAATTTTTACACAATGTTTTCGACTCATTGGTCATTCAGAAAAAAAAAAAATCAAAATGTAAAAAAATTATTTTTAAAACCTTTTTTACAAAAAAATAACGAAATATGGATCACATTGTGCGACAGCTTAAAAAATAAAGTAAAATATGGAAACGATGTGTTTTTTTCTAAAACTTCGAAATCCGTTAGCGGAGAATGAAAAGTTTGCACCTTTTTTTGTTATTAACAATTCTAGATGCGATTGTTACGACCAATACGAACCCGCGTATTCGCAATAATCGGTTAGTGATGTGCCGATTAATACTGTCGTCTGGTATATGCGATTTGCCATACAATTGCAATGTCTGGTCACATCTTCACAACACCGCCAAATGTTCGTTGTTACAAACTTGCAGCAGGTTAGTTCAAAATGACAAAATTCTCGGAAAACTTTTCCGAGTTAACAATTTTTGTTTAACAAATATTTATTGTTCATTTTTAACATTTTATTCTTGGTCCCATCCAAACAATACCGCCAATTTTGTCGTTCTCAAAAAATTCGCAGCAGGTTAGTTCAAAATGACAAAATTCTCGGAAAACTTTTCCGATTTAACAATTTTTGTTTAACAAATATTTATTGTTCATGTTTTAACAGTGTTTTACCTATTTTTCCTTTTTATAATTAATCTCTATAACATGTATTTTGAAAAAAGAAAATGGTAAATAACAAATATATATTGTTCTTGATTAACTGCTGCAGAAAAATGTTTTATTTTTTTACCGCTATAACATGTACATATGTATATTTTTATTTAAGGGGTCACGATAAACCGTTGTGCAGGATGCACTACCAACATAATAACGGTTATGTCGATGAATGACGAAAATGTACTTCAGTTTCTGGTGGAGCATGGGGTAATTCTCAGCGAAAAAATTTACCCAAACTGCAGTTCTCCATGCCAGCTCATCTGCGAGTATTGCGATCCTTCCCACCCGCAGTTTTTTTTTTAGCTATCAAAAGGTGAATTACGTAGTAAAAAAGAAGAAAAAGATTCGTAAACGCTGCAACTTCAAAGTTAGCATAAAGAGCAACACAT